CCCCGCTTAACGATCGCCTCCAAATGCGACCAATTAGAAGGTTTTATGTAGTGCGTTTGTAGTGTTGTTTGGGGGTTGAAATGGATAATCTATTTAAAAATATTCCTTTGGGAAAAAAATTTGGTAGTATGGGACCCGAAATAAATATGGAAAGAAAAAAGTTCGTTAACCGGGGGTCCACTGTACTTGCGATCTTTTTTTGAAAAAAAACTTGCCCCTTTTTCAAGAACAGTTCCCTTTATTGGTTTTGTTGGCCACAATAGTAGCGGGTGTTGGGGTTTGGTATACACCCGGCAGCTTGAGGGCACTCCTCCACTTTGTTTAGCAATTTTCTCTTTCTTCATTTCCCTAGTAATTTTTACCTTTTTTACCGCCCGTTGGCATTAAAGCTTTTTGGGGCCCCTGGTGACTTTTTTGCGGAACAATCACTAAAAAAAGCTGTGATAATATATGTTTCGATTGTATGGTGGATGCGACCGCATGGTGGTTTTAAAACTGGCACCCCGGGACAATGAGGCGCACTAGGCCACGTGGACGCGTCTCGAACGAATGTGTTGGGTGAGTTTTTAGCATTGCTGAGGCAAAATTTTTGCGTTAAAATGAAACGTTAGTTGGATTAACGTTAGGGGGTGCCTGTTTTGGAGGGTCCACTATTTTCCCCCTAAAATAATTTCAGTTTATTATTGAAAATATTGCAATTAGAGTAAAATTACAGTCTATTAATTAAAAAAAAATGTAAAACTTAACCCCTTTAGGGGCCCAAAGGCAAAAATTTAATGGGCTCCAGTGTCAAAAAAAATTTTTAAAAGAAAAAAAAAAAAAAAAAAAAAAAAAAAAAAAATCTTTCAGAATTTAAGAGATATTTTTGTGAAAGGTAATTATGACAAATTTTTTTTTTTCTGATCAGTACTTATGAGTACAGAGGGGGGAAGTTTACCCAAAATGACCGGGGGGTGGCGGGAAATCAGTGACTTCAGCAAAATCCATTTTTTTATTTTCGTTTTTTATACTCTTTTTTTTTCTTTTCAATTTTTTTCTTTTTCTAAAAACATTTTTGGCCTGGAGCCGTATAATGTATATTGTATAAGTGTACATATTGTATTCCACGCAATAATGCATAATTTATATTATATTGTTACAAAAATTGTTTACAAGTTTGTTGTAAAAAAAATGAGAAAAAATTGTGGTTTTGTGTTGAATACAACAGACCTATAGTACCATATGGTCAGGTGCCATAGGGTGCAATTGTACCTATGGTACAAGGCCCATATGTACAATGGTACCATATGGTACAATGGCACCTTTGTACAATGGAACCATATGGTCAAGGGACATTTGGTACAATGGTACCATTGGTGCAATGGTAACCCTTTTGGTACCATATGGGTATGGTACCATTGATGCAAAGGTACCTATGGTACATTTCCCTGCAATTCAATGATACCATATGGTTCATTGTACCATACAGTACAATGATACCATATGGTTCATTGTACCATATGGTACTGTTGTATTCAACACAATAAACACACTAATATTTTCATTATTATTTTGTTTACAATAGTTGTTTACACACAAAATATGCAAAAATTTTGTATATTAGTAATGTTCTATTATATATTTACAAGTGTACAGGAACTTGACATGTTCCTTGAGGTGGATGACAAAGCACTTTGTCTCAGAAATGCGGAGTCAGTAGCTAGCTTGTGTCGCCACTCACTCAGTCTTGGCTGGTGTCTCATGCCACCAACACCTATTGACCATATGGCACATGGTATCATATATTACAGGGTACCGTATGGTACATTGTACTATATGGTATAGGGTACCATGCAGTACAGGATAACATATGGTGCAGCATACCATATGGTACAGGGTACCATATGGTACAGGGTACCATATGGCACAGGGTACCATATGGTACAGGGTACCATACAGTACAAGACACCATATGGTACAGATACAGGGATAACTATGGAAATAAGTCACCCTGACTTTTTTGGGTTATCCTAGGATTTTATAAGTATGCTGCTATGTATGATAATCTATGTATGTAATTGTATTTCTGTACACCTGAATAAACTTACTCAAGTGCATGTGGCATCATAAGTAAGTAAGTTATACACAAATAAAGTTACATAGAATATCATACTTAGCAGCATATGTTTGGAGAACCTAGGATAACCCAAAAAAGTCAGACAGACTTATTTCCATTAGGGTCCCTGTACACTGTACCATATGGTATAATGTACCATATGGTACAATGTGCTATATGGTACATTGTACCATATGGTACCACTACCATATGATACCATTGTACCATATGGTACCACTACCATATGATACCATTGTACCATATGATACCATTGTATGACATGGCACCATTGTACCATATGGCACAATTTTACCATATGGTTCAAAACCATAGAATTCGTCTTCAGCTCCACTTCCATCAGTCTTAGAACTGTAAGTTGTGAAGAGGGGAGTCAGAATTCGCCTGGAGAGTGAGTGGGGAGTGAGAGCTTCTTACCGCCAGGCACTATGAACAAAGCTACTTTGCCAGCGTTCCACAATGCCATGCGGGCGTCCAGATTTTTTTTCTATGGGTGCACACTGACCACCCAGACCCATTCTCTCAGATGTATGCCTACCAGCCTTCTCGCGCTAAATTTGAAGCCGCTAGAATTTTGGCATAGATCTACGGTTTGGACCCTGAACGTAAAGCCGTAGATCTACGGGACGGACCCTGAAAGGGTTAAACAAACTATCATCAATTTCTTTAGTATTAAGCAGTCTGTAAGCCATTAAATTAAGTTTGCCCAAAATCCTAGGCATGATAGTCGCTCTCTTTGCACTTCAACTCATTACTGTAATTTCACAATCTCAATATAATCTTGCAAAGAAATAAAATTCGTTTGTGTGTTTGTGATTCTCCATAATTTGAACTTTCCTGAATAAAGTAATATTTATAAATTTTAACCCCTTAACTGTCCAAATGCAGATTTACATTCTAACCGCTAGTGTTCCAAACGTAGATCAACATTTTATTTTTCCTGCCTCCAAATTTGGGGCGACTGGCCTGAGTTGCTTGGTCAGCATAGAATGGGTCTTAATACTCGGTGTGTGCAGCATTAAAAAAATCTGGGACCACTTAGTACTTTGTGGGATCACCAGTTCAACTGAGCACCAGCTAGAGCAGTGGCAAACACCAGGGATTCACTGATGTCATGTCATGTTAGCACTTCCCTTTTAAGAGGAAAGTGATATTGACCCCGAGTTTAGTGACTTTGAGATGGATGTGGCCACAAGTGGTTGAGGAAATATTAAAAACCTCGATAATAACCCATGTGCAACATTTATGCAACATCTTTTCAATTTTGATACTAGTAGTGTCATCCTACCAGAATGTCCTATAACCTATGCCCTAAGTAAAGAGAAACAATTCTGGAACATGTGTAACATATGTTTGGCTGGCTGGGTAGCTGGCTGGCCAGGTGGCTGGCTGGTTAGGTGGCTGACTGGCCAATGGCTGGGTGGGTGGGTGGTTAATTGATTTTGGCTGTCTCTATCTCCATCTGTCTGTATCTATCTCTGCCTGTCTCTGTATCTGTCTGTATCTCACGGGTGCACATAAATAATTATACATAGTGTAAATTAAATAGGATAACCCAAAAAATCCAGACAAAGTGCTATACTGTACTTGTAGATATAAGGCATAATAAACATGACTGGCAAGTAATACACATTTTCACTTGTTCAGGAATCAGAGGTGATGACTTTGCATTGTGTGTAATACTTGTTAATGAGCGGCTCTCTGAGATAGGAGGGACAAGCAGACAGAGACAGGAAGACAGACACACAGAAAGACAGATAACCAGAGACAGAGATAAAGAGACAAAGCTAGACAGATAGATAGACAAATAGATAAGACATATTTATATGTAACTGTGAAAACAAATAAAGCCAAGACAGTGCACGAGCATCAAGTGTCACTCCACTGCTGCACTGTCAGCAGTGGGGTGACACTCATCTTACACCAGGCTTCAAGGAGTTTCATATATACTCCAGCATGTCTAAAACATCGCTGGGACCTATAAATACTTTGTGTATATTTCTAGACAATAATATGTGACCAAGGCAGGTGAAAATGTTCACTGGTCAGTGTGTTTGTGACTATTTGAGTACTATTTCAGTACCTAATATTAGTGTCAGAACAAACATTGGCAATGAAATCACAAGAACTACTACAAATTATAATTATCAAAACATAAAAGTTATATAAATAAAAAAAAAGGAAAAAAGGTATACCAGCAACACTTCTGCAAGCGGCAGGACTCCATGTTGCCATCAGGTGAGCATCCAGTGCCAACTTCACTATCTTATATCTTGATAAGTACTGACCCTAAATTTTTTTTTTTTTTTTGGTCTTATTAAACACAGAAAATTGCCCTCTTTAATTTAAAAAAACAATTTTTTTTTTTTCAAAATATTCAGTGTACTGGTCGAGAGAATGTAGATCTATGTTTGGACAGTTAACGAGTTAAATCATACAAACTTAGATTTCTTCCTAATAAGAAATATAATACTTTCTGAAAAAATTAATCAGCAATATTTTCCAAAATTTCAATTTGGAAAATCTAATTATCCTTTTCTGAATACAAATAAAAATGATCCTAAAGAAATTTCAATCAACAAAAATACCTTGCATACTTTACACCAGGGGTCCCCAACCTGCAGCCTGGGGACCACATGTGGCCCTTCTAGGAAATGGATGTGGCCCTCACATGAAATTATGAATTTGCTATTTTGTAGGTTCCACACTGTACAGTGTCAACAAAACTGTGCGGCCCTCATCACACATCTGACCATCAAATGTGGCAGACTTGTGTAGGAAGGTTGAGGACTACAGCTTTAAAACTTTAATTTATATATACCTGCCCTAGCTAGTTTTAAATGATAATTACTCTACATAAATAAGTTTAACACAAAGCTCAACTTACCAATAGCAAACTGCTTGGTGGGTGATGACACAACAGAAGACAGACTTAGTCTAAGAAGACTGCCACCTTCATGGGGTTGAACGTAAACTTTATGCTGACCAATGCGAGCAATTGTGCCTGATAGGGAGAAATGGTAGAATTAACTTTCATTTGCAATATGTATTTCTTGTCAACTCAACAGCTATCCCCACCAATGCAGGGTAAGCGATAGAAGAAAAGGTTGGTAGACAGCAGCCACCCAGGGAGGTACTACTGTCCTGCCAGGTGATTGTGAAACAGAAACCTGTAACTGTTTTACATGATAGTAGGATTGTTGGTGCCTTTTTTCTCTCTCATAAACACGCTGGATAACAGGTATAACTTGCTCCTTACACTTAGGTCACACTACACAGGCATGCACATGCATATACAGTGGACCCCCGGTTAACGATATTTTTTCATTCCAGAAGTATGTTCAGGTGCCAGTACTGACTGAATTTGTTCCCATAAGGAATATTGTGAAGTAGATTAGTCCATTTCAGACCCCCAAACATACACGTACAAACGCACTTACATAAATACACTTACATAATTGGTCGCATTGGGAGGTGATCGTTATGCGGGGGTCCACTGTACATGTATACAGTGGACCCCCGGCTCGCGATGCTATCGGTATCCAATAAATCTGGTAACCGATGCATTATATCGCAGAAAATTTGCCTCGCTTCCTGATACAAAACCTGGTATGCGATGTGGTTCGTACGAGACATGTCCATGTGTGGCCTGAACTGCCCGGTGTGTGCCAGTGTTTACAAGCCAGCCAGTGTGCGCGCATCTAAGGATACATTCGGTACATTCCATATTATCCACATTATCACTGTTTTTGGTGCCTGTTTTTGCAAAATAAGTCACCATGGGCCCCAAGAAAACTCCCAGTGCCAACCCTTCGAGACCAAGGGTGCTAATGACTGTTGAAATGAAGAAAGAGATAATTAGAAAGTACGAAAGTGGAGTGCATATGTCGGAGCTGGTCAGGTTGTATAGTAAACCCCAATCTACCATCTCTACTATAGTGAGCAAGAAAACAGCAATCAAGGAAGCTGTTCTTGCAAAAGGTGCAACTGTGATTACGAAACAGCGACAGCAAGTGTTAGAAAATGTTGAGACTGTTATTGGTGTGAATAAATGAAAAACAGATAGCAGGAGATAGCATCTCTCAAGCAATCATTTGTGAAAAGGCTAGGCAGTTGCATGACGATTTGGTAAAAAAATTGCCTGCAACTAGTGGTGATGTAAGTGAATTTAAGGCCAGCAAAGGTTGGTTTGAAAGATTTAAGAATTGTAGTGGTACACATAGTGTGATTAGGCATGGTGAGGCTGCCAGTTCAGACCACAAAGCGGCTGAAAAATATGTGCATGAATTCAAGGAGTACATTGAGGCTTAAGGATTGAAACCTGAACAAGTGTTTAATTGTGACGAAACAGGCCTGTTTTGGAAGAAATTACCAAGCAGGACCTACATTACTCAGGAGGAAGAGGCACTCCCAGGACATAAGCCTATGAAAGACAGGCTTACTATGTTGATGTGTTCCAATGCTAGTGGTGATTGCAAAGTGAAGCCTTTATTGGTGTATCACTCAGTAACTCCAAGAGCGTTCAGGCAAAAGAATGTCCTCAAGGCTAATTTGTGTGTGCTGTGGAGGGCAAACAGTAAGGCATGAGTCACTAGAGACTTTTTCTATGACTGGTTACAACATGCATTTGCCCCCAGTGTGAAAAATTACCTAACTGAAAAGGAATTAGACCTTAAGTGCCTCCTGGTATTAGACAATGCCCCTGGTCATTCAACAGACTTGTCAGAGCGACTTTGTGGGGACATGAGTTTCATTAAGGCCAAGTTTTTGCCTCCTAATACCACTCCTCTCCTGCAGCCCATGGACCAGCAGGTCATTTCCAACTTCAAGAAACTGTACACAAAAGCTATGTTTGAAAGGTGCTTTGAAGTGACCACAGAAACTCAATTGGCTCTAAAGGAGTTTTGGAAGGATCACTTTACTAACCTCAGTTGAGTAAAACTTATAGGTTAGGCTTGGGAGGGAGTGACTAAGAGGACCTTGAACTCTGCCTGGAAAAGACTGTGGCCAGAATGTGTAGACAAAAGGGATTTTGAAGGGTTTGAGGCTAACCCTGAGAAGCCTATGCCAGTTGAGGAATCCATTGTGGCACTGGGGAAGTCCTTGGGGTTGGAGGTTAGTGGGGAGGATGTGGAAGAGTTGGTGGAGGAGGACAATGAAGAACTAACCACTGAAGAACTACTAGATCAACTTCAACAGCAAGAGGCCACATCTGAGGAAATTGCTTCGGAGGAGGGGAGAGAGAAATTGAAGAAGTTGCCTACTTCAAAGATTAAGGAAATCTGTGCAAAGTGGCTTGAAGTGCAAACCTTCATGGATGAAAATCACCCTCAGACAGCTATTGCAAGCCGTGCTGGTGACTATTACACTGATAATGTTGTGGACCACTTTAGGAAAGTCATAAAGGAACGAGAGGTACAGGCCTCTCTGGACAGATATGTTGTGCGACAGAGGTCCAGTGACTCTCAACCTGGTCCTAGTGGCATTAAAAGAAGAAGGGAAGTAACCCCAGAAAAGGACTTGCTACCTCAAGTCCTAATGGAGGGGGATTCCCCTTCTAAATGCTAACACCATCCACACTGTGGAGAAATTTTCTCCAGGAGGGGGGTATCAGCCCCCTTCAGCCCCTTTCAGCCCTGAGGGGCCCAGACCTCTCAGAAGGGGCAAGCGTCTTGTTTACTGCTACAATGAGTAATTGATCACAGATGCCGTACGAGTATGCGACCTGTGGTCAACCGACCATTGCTCCTTGCAGTCCAGTGTTGCAGAGTGTATTTTAATAAGAGACAGTACATCTCTTACTTTAGCAGGACAATTAAGAAAAATCCTGCTCCCACTTCATTACCATAGTAAAGATAGTGGACATTGTTGTCTATGCTTAAGACAGCAAGAATCAAACCTTCTGCTTTGCTTCATCGAGGAAGTGGCAAGGAAGCAAAAAGTACTAGGTCAGCTTTTTTTTTTGTGCAAGGGGCAGTGACGGCATGGGGCGCTGTGGCGTCTTCAGATTACTTTTGACTCTACTGAGAGTGACACTGATGCCAGGATAACCAACAAAGAACAACGATCTGTGCGTTAGTGTGAACAAAGTGTCTCACAAAACACAATAAACACTTGAGAGAAGTGTGATCAGCTTCTCTTGTGATAAGATTGTGAACAATAAAGACAAATCTTGTGGAACATAGTGTACCAGTGTGCGTTTCCTAGACAATGGAAGACGTGGACATCCAAGGACACTTCAGCTTCTATCAAGTCACCGATACCTGTCGAAGGTGTGAAGAACACCATAGCTCACGTTACAAGAGCAAGGTATGTTACGAATTTCTTGTGGTACGGGGGACTGCGCAGTTCTTGAGTCGCAAGGAGTTTGTAATCAACCTATAGTCGGCAGTAAGGTGTGGACTTTTGAGTCCAAACAAGTAAGTTGTCAGCCATCAGTGAATGAAATGCTGACATAACACCCCCTAGGGGTAATTTATAATCTTACAAATTATATTTCTTGACAGCCCGTTGTGAGATGGTTTCGACAGCTTCTAGACCTCGTCTGCAGGGGCGGCTGTGCAGGCGATGAGTTGTCTTTAAGTTAAGTGTTCACTGTTTAAACTTAGCTGGTAATCCCATTTCTCAACATAATTGGTCCTTCGAACCGGATTCGAACCAGTGACCTATGGACCTTCAGCCCCTTTCGGCCCTGAGGGGTCCAGACCTCTCAGAAGGGGCAAGCATCTTGTTTACTGCTACAGTGAGTAATTGATCACAGATGCCGTACACTCTGCAACACTGGACTGCAAGGAGCAATGGTCGGTTGACCACAGGTCGCATACTCGTACGACATCTATGATCAATTACTCACTGTAGCAGTAAACAAGACGCTTGCCCCTTCTGAGAGGTCTGGGCCCCTCAGGGCTGAAAGGGGCTGAAGGGGATGAAGGGGCTGAAGGGCCTGAAGGGGGCTGATACCCCCCTCCTGGAGAAAATTTCTCCACACTCTCCCCTCCTCCCATCTCATCAATCATCACCAGATCTTCATTAATGGTAAGTGTCAATTATTCTTTCGTTATTTATTGTTATATATTGTTATTGTTGTTATTGTAATTACTATTCTATTGCATTAAACTTAATATTTCATGTGGTAAAAGTTTTTTTTTTCATACTTTTGGGAGTCTTGCACGGATTTATTTGATTTCCATTATTTCTTATGGGGAAAATTGATTCGCTTTCCGATATTTTTGGTTTACGATGAGCTCTCAGGAACGGATTAGTATCGCGAACCGGGGGTCCACTGTATATACATACACACATCTAGGGTTTTTCGTCTTTTTCTTAACAGCTCTTGTTCTTGTTTTTTTTTTCTCTCTATTGTCCATGGGGAAGTGGAAAAGAATCTTTCCTCTGTAAGCTATGCATGTCGTATAAGGCGACTAAAATGCCGGGAGCAATGGGCTAGTAACCCCTTCTCCTGTACACATTTACTAAAAGTGAAAAGGAGAAAAACTAAATAAAACTGAGATGCTTGAATGTGTATGGATGTAGTGCAGATAAGAAAGAGATGATTGCTTATGTTGTGAATGAAAAGAAGTTGGATGTCCTGGCTCTAAGTGAAACAAAGCTGAAGGGGGTAGGCGAGTTGCAGTGGGGAGAAATAAATGGGATTAAGTCAGGAGTATCTGAGAGAGTTAGAGCTAAGGAAGGGGTAGCAATAAGGTTGAAGGACCAGTTATGTTAGGAAAAAAGGGAATATGTGTAAATTCAAGGATTATGAGGATTAAAATAAAGGTAGGATGTGAAAAGTGGGTCATAATAAGTGTGTATGCACATGGAGAAGAGAGGAGTGTAGAGGAGAGAGAGAGAGATTTTGGAAGATGTTAAGTGAATGTATAGGAACCTTTGAACCAAGTGAAAGAGTAATTGTGGTAGGGGACCTAAATGCTAAAATAGGAGAAACATTTAGAGAGGGTGTGGTAGGTAAGTTTGGGGTGCCAGGTGTAAATGATAATGGGAGTC